CCACACCGCAATAATCACTCAGCAAAAATTAGTGCAACTTGGCTGGGATGTTTTGCCTCACCCACCGTATTCACCAGACCTTGCGCCATCCGACTATCACTTGTTCCGGTCCCTGCAAAACTCCCTCAACGGGAAATCGTTCGCTGATCAGACAGCTGTGAAAACGTACCTCGACCGGTTTTTCGCCTCTAAGCCCCAGACCTTCTATGAGAGCGGAATAATGAAATTGTTGGAAAGATGGCAAGAGGTCATCAACAAAAACGGAGAATATATTATTGATTAAAATTCATCCTTTGTATGAAAAAAACTTGTTTCATTTTAGCCTTCAAAAAGCGAACGAATATATGGATCCACCCAATACTTCCTATGATACATCTTTTAATAAATTTAAAAGTGGGCCTTATTTAGTGCCTAGGCCTTATTCTCGCGTCTCAAGTATCTTATTTAATACTGTATAAGTATAGCAGAAATAAAACGTTATTTTTAAAACTTTTTTGTTAACAACTTTTTAACGAAAAGCGACTACCAAACAAAATCTGTTGGAGGTTATTCAGAGTCATGACCTTGATAACATATGTCAAAGTCAAGATCATCAAAGCTGCTTCCGTCATAAACGTTCGTTTTAACAAAAAAAACTTGTAATATTTGTGCGTAGCAGTATTCTTGATTATTAAATGAGAAATAGAACTCAAATCATATCTGAAAGCAAATATTATCTAAATTTTTCACTTAAATTGATTACAAATGTAAGTATGTCAGAAATATCAAGCTAATAGCTATATTTATGTATTGAATTAGGTATATCGTGTCTTAAAATTGGTTTCAAGTTCTTCACAACTATAAATGTGGGCCTTAGATAAATATTAGAAAATACGATTTCTCTTGTCAAGATGTAGAGTGTAAAAGTCATTGGCATATGTACATGCATACACATCTATAGTTATGATACATAAATTAGGCTAGGCAATTGGTTTGTGTTTGATCGTGACAGAAATGAGCCGTAAGCATCTTGTTGTCAGACGAATAAGGCACATGCAACTAAATTCTGTGATTGACACTTTTTTTCTATGTGGTTATTGTTGCGATAACTTTTTATACTCCCGTTATAACTATTATTTAATACACAGAAAATGATAAACTCTATTGATTGTATGAAATAAAAATGACGTTAATTTTGTTTAAATGTCTTACAGTATCTATATGTATATTTAAGAAACTCACATAAATAAGATTAGGCTTTTTTATAATCTATTTATGCGTAAAGATAATCCCCTCTCTCGTGTAAGTAGTACGGTTTATATAGAAGCAATTTCCAGACAAGATATAAAATCTTTCATATTAGTGTATGCTAATCGTCAGCAACGACATTTTCGAAAAAGTATTAATACGCAAGAGTTGTGGAAGGTATAGAAGTATTTTACGTACGCGAAAATGAATCTTAAACTACGTTTATTATTTGTGTTTGTTATCGTCATTTTAATACACGAGATAACATCTAAGCAGCAATTATATCCATCATGTAAGCACCCTTCTTTTAAACATGACATTTTTTTATTATATTACTTATTGCAATATTTTAATTATAACTCGAATTTTATTAAAATATATATTCTGCGTAGCTAAGTACAAAAGAATTAAAGTTATTAAATTCAAATTCGTATGTCACAATGAAAACTTTGACAAAGAGATTTGTGCATAATTTAACACATTTATTCGTGCTTATTTTAGTATGCCTATTGCCTATGAAAATGGGTCCTTGTAGAGCAGATATACCGAGATACGCGTACAATTCAGCTTCCGGACAATGCGAACAATTCATATATGGTGGCTGTCATGCAAATGCAAACAATTTCAAAACTATGTCCGAGTGTGAAATGACATGTAAAACTATATAACGATGAATAAAAACGATAAGCAAGATTCAGTAAAGAAATTTATTTTACGTTTTATTTTAACCCTAGCTATACATACTCTTTTTTTTACCCTTACTTACTTTACCCTTACTTGGGGCCTCATCTATATTTGTTACTGTAACTTTCGTAAAAATGGACATATTTCAATTAATTTTTTCGATGGAGAATTGATTAAGGAATAAGATATGTAAAAGTCAATAGAATTAAGAAGCTTCGTACAGATTCAAAGGAAAAAGAAAGTTCAGAAAACACTAAAAAATCTCGATTTAGCAAATTGCACTGGAGTTTTTGGCACCTCATTGCGTATAGTTCAGGTTAATAGTACACTGTTGGAAAAAATGTGTGAATTTAACATAAACCACATGTCGCAAATGAACTTTTGGCTTAATTTAACACAAGATAAATATGTTAGAAGATTACACAAATATTATATAAGAGAATATTGGTACAGTTTGTAAACAAATTGTGGAAGCATTTTTCAGAAAATTTATATGTTAAATTAACACGTATTTCATTTCTTTGTTTTAGAATTCACGTTTTAAAACATATAATTTTTATGTTTATTTATTCACTTACTTATAAATTGTGTCATTTTGACATTAAAAAATGATGAATATTAATTTTACACAAAATCTTTAAATAACATAATCACATTATATCAAATTAATATTCAAATACATTAAAAAATTCAACACAAACTAACATAGAACATGAGTGGATCGTTTCCAACACAAATACACAATTTTTTTACTGTGTAATAAAAATTATAATTCTAGTGACGTAATGTAATTAAATGTATATGATAAGAATACAAAAAAGCCCTTATTTCTGCATTATTGTGTATTCTAATATGATCCCTAGTAGCACATGTCGATTTATATACGTTTCCTAAACATATTTAATATTCTACAACTGTCTTTAAAGTTTTTAATGTAGAATATTAGATACGTTTAGGAATCGTACATAAAACGTATATAAACGAATAAGTACTTGGTTAAAGTACATACTTTAACACAAATAAAAAGACTAATGCTTGTAATTTCTCATCTCTTCTTTTTTCTCTTTTTTTCTGTTTTTCCTATAATAGTATGTATTTTATAATTTCAAAAATTTTATAATTTGTATAGTATTAATCCTTAGTACACGTGATAACTTTTCAATCTTTTACTGTACACAATGAATCATTTGGGTTAATTTTCATCACTTTTATGAGAATATGTAAGAATTATATTAAGAGAGATTAAGACAGATTTTCATATACTTTAACATTCTTAGAAAATATTTGTAGACTTACATATATATTTATAAATTATATTTATAAATGTTACAACTAATTATTTGATGCTC